GCAACTGCATTAATTCATAAAACTTGTTTTCTATCATCTTTATAACATCATGAAGGTTGTCAGAAGTGTTGTCAGGAGTGCATATACACAGAATATTTTCCATGGATTCAGAGCACTAAGCAATCTGAAAAGTATAGGTTTTAATAAGAGAAACTAATTTTAATAATGATTATGTAAATTAAATTTTAAAAAATACTAACCCTCTGCCTTTTTTTAGCTGAACTCTGCCTCCTTTATCCCTCTTTAGCCCTGGCAGAAGACCAAGCAATAAGGCTAAGCTGCTTCCAGGTCTGGAAGCTAACTCATGCCTCTTTTTACACCTGCTGCACTGTGTTGGCAGGGAGATTAGCGCAAGGAGTTTAGAAAATGCTGTATTAAACTCAAATAAACAGTTTACAGGAAATACATACTTCTAATGAGCTTTAAGTCTTTTCCTAACTCCATTTATGTCTAATCACTCTTTTCTCTTTCTTATTGAAAATTCAGAGGATGAAAAGATTCTTTGAAGAAAGTATTTTAGAAGAAGTGAAACCAGATGATATTCTCCACTGGCTTAATGTTTCACAGTGACAAACAGTGTGGGCATGCTATGTAGTTCTTATTCAGAAAACCTGCCCTTTGTTTGAGGTGTAATTTAGCTACAAAGATCAAGTCTGTATTTCTGATACAGCTGTACAAAGGAACTACAAACATTTCATGCTAAAAAAAATCAAACCTAAAATTTTTTCGTCACATAAGTGGTCCTTCAGAATATTATGGGTAAACTCCACCACCAGTGGAGTGCACAGTTTGACTGCTATTGCCTCTAGTCTTCTCTAATTCCCCAGTCTTAATGAGCAGGTGCTCATTTACAGCTGAAGAAGGGATGGCATTCTGTGTGGGTCCACAATAAGTTTCAGACATAAAATCCATAAGAAGACATATGAACTATTCTACCACTGTGTTCTTAATCATTGAAAGGCTGACCAGAAAACAAGAATATTAAAAAAATAAATTAATAATCTTTTGTTATACTATAGGTAAGGGACATAGCTGAAGATCTTTCACACAAAGACCAGCAAAAGAAAACCATGATGCGGAAGGCAAGTGAAATTTACTATGTCTCTTGTGTCTGCAGTTTCACAGTCTTTTTCATTTGGACCTTGCACACTCTTCACAATTTCCTTGTTGACAGTATGAGGCCCCAACGTAATGCTGTTAAAAGCAATCATGACTGTACTGGTTACAGCGGACTGATTACTCGCACTTCTCCTAAATTTAGCTCCCTGCTGGATGTTCATGGCAAATTTCTCTCTCTTCTGGAGAGGTCATATGTGAAAAAAAAGTTCTCTTGTCCTGGGCTTTAGAGCACTATTAACACTCCTCAAATGAATATTGTACCTTTAATTCACATTTATCTGTATTTTGCATGCAGTGGACTTATTTGGATAAGCTGTTCATTCCAGCATCTGGTAGTTTATTTATTATTGCAAGTGGATTACGTGCAGACACAAAAGGGAATGTGAAGTATGCAGCAGAGTGGGCAGGTTTAATCATATCTCACAGTATCTGTTTCATTTAGAATTGTATTTTAATCTCACAGCACTGAGATAATATCAAATTTAAACTTTTTAAACCTTTGTAATAATACATTTCATCAGATGTTTGCCAGTTTCTTCCGTCTTGAAGAGCAGTGAACTTTTTGTGATTGCCAGCATACAAGTTGTGTACATTTGTTCAGTTGAACTTTTATTGTCTGTTGAAATCAAACTAGAGACCCGGTCACCAATTATCCATGCAAACCATCAGCACAAAAGGGATTCAAAGTGCATGTGGGTTCTGTTAACTGAGTTTTCCCTTTGTCTGTTTGTCAGGAAGATGGTTATTCTCCATGTTCTGATTCAAGGTTGTTGACTCATAAAATAAGCAGTCTTTATATAGTGGTATAGGGATGGAAGTAATGTTTTGTTCTTCCCTTCATAAATATGCCCTAGAAATACATTTCCTCAAAAGTTCCCTAAATTCTGGTCACAGGGAATAGAATATGTTTGGAGAATTGGAGAAGGGCTGACAAGATTCAACTGTACTGCTAAAATTGAGCTGACTTGATTCTAACAAAGGACACCCTGGACAACCACCACTCTCCTTGCCAGGGTAGGCTCTGTGACAGGACTCTGAGCATAACCCCTGTTTTTAAGATAAGCTCTAGAAACCCTTTCAGCTTAGGATCAGGTTAGATTCCCAGGACAGTTGGCAACAACAAAAATGTTTCTGACCAATGCTTATCATTGAACAGCACTCTACCCCTCCAGGACTTCAAGAACCTTTTTGAACCACTTTCAGAAGATGGTTTTCATTCATCCATCTGATAACAAAAGGGGGTTGTTTGGCTTGCTCCTCAGCAACAGCATGAGAACTGTTTGTTCAGGAAGGCAGGCCAGCATGAACTTCAGTTCAAACAAACTGTCCCTCATAAGCCATCTTTCTTTCTCCACCCTTTCCTGGCTGCCTACTGTTCTGTGCTTGGCAGCATGAGGATTTCCAAAATGTCTCAATGATTTTAAATTCTATTTTACTATTGGTAGCTATATTTCACGGAGAGAAAACTCTCTGGCTTCTGTTGGTGATCATAGCAACACATATCAAACTTCATTTTGTTGGTGAGATCCCTGTCAGAAGAATTTTACAGCTTTAAGCTATGTGCTTTGTGTGTTCCTTTTTCTTTGTTGTTTGTTTGCATAAAACTCAAAATGTTCTCTAGAAAAGTAGCCTGTTTCCATAATCAATAACAATAGCTGTTTCTATACTTTGTAGTATGAAGTCATATGGTCTAAATCATTGTCAGTCATTTCCTCTCCCTTCACATCTTCCAAAAAATGTTCCCCAAACCAAACTGGGAAAAAAAAAAAAGGAAAGGAAGAAATGAAACCTTGCCACATTTTATTGTATCCATGTCATAAACTCATAAACTACTGAAACTTAGGGTCAGTGCAAAGATAAGAATCAGACAGTTTACACTAACTAATGCCTTTGTTATTGCTTTTTGAAACAAAGTTTATTTGGTGCATTTATTTCTTCTTTTGACAGCATGTGGACAATGAGAGTGTTTCTTCATCTAGTGAAATAATTGCTTTCCGCAAAGCACTGTTGGATCCAGTGACAGCAAATCTGTTTCAACGATTTGTGGCACTGAAGGGAGACCTACTAGGGAATGGAGTGCTGTTTTGGCAAGAGGTGCAAAAGTATAAGGTATGGTGGTAAAACAGAGAAAAGGGAATAGTATTCAGTTTGTAATCAAAAGCATATATTCTTGCATATTAGGAGAATTTTAACAAAAATATCTGTAGACATTCTGTTGTTCATCATAAAGCCTCTTTTACTGTTTAAACTGGTTTTTTCTTCCAGGGAAAAAATGAATGGTAGCTTTTTAATGGTAGCTATTCTTGACTCAAATGCATTATTCCTGTATTTCTTTATTCTTCAAACTGTAGCATTCTTCTGGGTCTCTAAAGGTATCTATGCTATCTTGCTAATGCCCAGAGTTTGAGTATACATATATATATATTTAAGTATATGTTTGAATATATGTTTGGTATACATCTGTTGAGCATTTGACATATGCAATCATTAAAATGTTCATTTTGTCTTTATAGCTGCTATCTGAATTCGGTAATTTCTCAAAAATGAGAGATAACTTTAAATTCAATCAAATCTACAGTTGTAAAGATGGTATCTACCAAAAATCCTATATCTACAACACAGACTGCAACTCCCTTGCACTTTGTAGAATCAAATTTGACTTGAGCTGAGCTTGGGACCAAAGTGAAATGTGATGGGAAAGGTCAGCAGGGATTACATCTCTCCCAAATACATGTAGTTTTGTGAAATTGCTTCTGTGTGGTTGAAACACAATGGAAAACCTCTGGAGTGAAAGTTTAAATCACATTGCAGCCTCCTAGGAATACCCTGGACTGAATGCAGAGACACCACAGAGCTTTCATGTGTTCCTCATTCCTTTTCCCTCTGGGATATTCCCTGATGCAAAAGTGCTACCAGAGCACAGAACCTCTCCTGAGTTCCTGAGCATAGCCTATGTGCACATGGCAGGCGGGGGGCACGAGATTAGCTAATGTGCTCAGAAACTGGGCTGTAAACAGACTTGATGTTGCAGTAGCACTTGGAGATCCTCTGCAGGCGTGTGGGTGTATTTTTACTGTTTAATTTTATGAATTTGAATTTGGTGTCTGCTTTTGGAGGTGAAGCTCCTCTGTTTCCAGGGGACTATCTCTTTTCCCCACAAAGGCTCTGATCCTCAGGCAAGGAATCACTGGCTGAAATGCTCTCTGGGATGCTGGAGGTCTCTTGTGGTGAAAGAGTGACTAGCTTAGATTAAAACTCTAGTATGAAGACACTTGGTGTTCCATGACATAAATCCTTTTCTAGATATTTGGCTTTTTTTGAGACTTGTGACTCTTCATTTCTACGTCATGAAGGACATGGAAACTTTCTGCAAATTAATGTGGAGTGTAGTCTTAACTCTGTAGAACTATTCTCTGAAGAAAGCCTTCATTGTTTTTTGTCCCGCCCCCTTTCCTGCATTTATGTTAATTTTATTTGTCTTGTTATCAAGAAAAAGTACAATCTGACCATATTTCTCCATGCATGCAATTTGTCATGGTTGGCAGTTGATGCTCTTTGTAGAAGCAAAGGGCTGGAGTAGTAGGAGTGCTGTGGGTCAGGCTGAACTGCAGGAATATTGCCAAAGGCGTGGGCAGCACTTTGCACAGTGCATACTTGTATTGTCTGAGCCCTATCATGCCATCAGTTTAGACAGAACTCCCTTTAGGAGTCAATGACTGCGTCGCTCCCCATAACCCATCTGGCTGGCGGCACATCTTGGGACAATCCAAAACCAAGATTTTTTTTTAAACAAATACGAAGAAACGTAACTCTGTGGATCATTTCCATCTGTTCATCTATGCTCGGTCTCATTTCTCTTTGTATCATATGGCTTGTTTGTCTTCCCTCTTGCTACAGCTCTCTGCCTTCTATGCTAGATGAGCAAAGAAAGCCATAATACATATTCTTAGGATATATTGAATAGGTTTTTACATTGCCCTTACTTTCTTTATTATAGTTGTTATCATTCTTCTTTTTTTTTCCTTCCCAAAACTAAACGTATTCGTAACAAAGCAAGCCAACCCTTTCACATACCACATTTCTGGTTAAAAGCCATGGTTTTCATTTCTTTGCAAAGTACATATATAGCCTTCTATACCAAAACTAAATTCAGATTCTTCATGTAAAGAGCTCTCTTGCTGAAAACTCTGGAGTGCTCATTGTGTCTCTAAGATATACGTGATAGTCTTCAAGTGTCATATAAATTTCTTGAAATATATGGATAGAGGGGAAGTTCATGTTTCAAAGTGTTGGAAGGATACTCTTTGAATTATTATTCCTTCATGTTAAAGTCCAATGGTGGCATCATCAGGTTGTCAAAATGCAGGTTTTACAAGAACAATAAGATCACATTCAAAAAGTAGAAAACCCCAGTGTTGCTTTGACATCTCACTCCTGTAAGTTCAGATCCGTTTTGTATTCTATAGTGTACAGTTCTTTCAAACACTGAGGTTTTGGGAAACTAGAAAATCTTAATGAATGGTGAAAGTAGAAGATTTCAATAAATGGAAGATCATACTGGTAGCTGACATTATCCCCTCTTGTGACAACATTCCTGGTTAGAACAGCTTGTACCCTTTGAATATTTCCCCTCTTTTGTTGGAGCACTTAAAGCATTCCTTTATCTTTTAGTTACCAAGGCTATGCAAGTCATAGCAGGCTCATTGTGAAAATCAGTGTGTTTCACACTTGTAGATGTTTTTCTCTTTTCAGAAATGTCTCCTATTTGCCAGTAATGCACTTAAAATCCATGTTGTTCTGTCTGAACATGCAGGCAGAGATTATCACCTAAAAGCAAAGATTGCTATGTATCTACATTTGCAAACCAGAAGCCTCATGCATGTCTTAAGTATGATTTTGACCATGCACATTTACCAAAAGAATTTTTCGCTGCATACCGAAGGAATTTATTGTATAATTATTTTTATATGACTATTGGTCTTTGATCACTCACTGGTCCTTGTGAAGATTCTTGCATGCATCTCTCTCCATTGACTGAAAATGCTATTTTTCATCTTTCAGGACCTGTGCCATTCGCATTGTGCTGATGCCATAGTCCAGAAAAAGATCACAGCTATTATTGACTGCTTTCTTAATTCTGCCATACCCCCAGCTTTGCAGATTGACATCCCACCTGAACAAGCAAAGAAGATTGTGGAGCACAGGAAAGAACTTGGACCCTACATTTTTAGAGAGGCACAGGTAAGAAGCCAGGTGAATCTGTAATAGGTCTGGCTAGAGACTGAGTGCCTGATTTTATGCACAGTCTTCGTTCTTATGTGACAGTTAGGACTCCACACATAAACCTGAGCTTGAAGGAGAAAGCTATAGTCATACATTTCAGTGTCTGTAAGGTGGAGATGGAAGATAGTCTTCAGCTATATACTGCTCAATAAAGAAAATCTCTAACAGCTAGCTGATCCTGGAAAGGTGTTATCCAGGTCTGTGTTAGGAATTCTGGCAGTAGAAATGAATTCTGCCTATGTTCTTTAACTCTTGGTTAATGTCACAGAAGTAATTTGGAGTTAGAAAGTTTGTGGTTTTCATGTTTTATGAAAAATGCAGATGTGAGCAAAGCGCAAAGACAGTTTAACTTGCTGAATATCTTTTCCTTCTATATTACAGAAAGTGTGTGTTAAATGGCTGTAGACCATTTTCTCTCTGATCTTTCTATTAATCAGGTTGAATAGCAATTTTGGAACTTCTACTACAGACTTACTATTTTCTTATCCCTTGATACTGCCTTGGTCTTATCTACTAAGTCTAAGAAAAGTAGTTGTACTTCTTTTCCTATAAAATTGCCACCAACACTAGCATAGTGTTTAGACATCAACTGTGAGTTCATAAAGTGTTCAGATGACAATAGGTGAATGATTTGTCAGAGAAAAGAGTTCATATAGGTCCTAAGAAAAGAGAATTGTTTCAGCCTGTAAAACCCAGTGAACTCCAGAAATATGGCACAAAACCAAGGAAGAACTAGGCCAAAAAGCTGTGACTGGAACCCGACAGTGGCTCACATGTCACTTTCAAGCCTCTTGAGCCAGAAGCAGTGAGCATGCTTGGCTCCTTTGAAGCCAAGTTTCTCAATGCAAATTAAACATCTAAATAAATTGAAAAATGTGAGCCTTAGTACGTGCAGCAACAGAATTCACTGAGCCCCTCTGTTTGCTTTTCTAAAATTGTTTTTCTTATTCTAGTTCAAAAACGACCCTGTGAGAGATTATATCATTTAAAAATTATCCAAGATTTGCTCATAGATCTGTAATGTGGTTTAAGAGCCTTTCCAGAGGCAAAAAAGTATTTCCTTTCTCTTAAGGAGGGGAAAAAAAGCCCTCTCCCTAATGAACTGAATATTTGAAATACTTGAGCAGAACAGCAGTGCAAAAGCAATTCTACTGGTGTATATTTTATCAAGAATACTTGTAAAAAGTGATGGATGTTTTCATTAATGCAAACAATTGTTTAGGGAAATATAAAAAAAGAAAGTGCCTTTTAACTGTGTTTTAGGAAGATTTCTCACCAGTAATAAACACACTGATGAAAAGCATGTGCCGAGCAAAGCTGGGCTGAAATGTCAAGACAGAGTACGTGGGAGGAACAAGGCTGTGTGTTCAAAAAAAATAGTTATCTCATTCTGCATTTTATTTTACAGTCAACTGTTTCCTTAATATGATCAAGATTGACTTTATTTTCTTCCTGCACAGATGAGTATTTTTGCTCTTCTGTTTAAATTTTGGCCAGAATTTTGTAAGTTCCAAAGCAATCTGGATAGTGACAAAATTCTAGTTGCCTTGGAGGAAAAAAAGGAAAAAGAGATGCGAAAGAAGGAAGTGATAACAGCAAAGGTAAGGCTTGTAAAGTTTCAGGTGACCACTGATGAACTGAATAATATGAGCAAAGATACATTAAATAAAATATCTCTTTCTCAGCCTGATGCAAAGCTACCAAATCTTGTTATATTTCAAGCTTTACACGCAACCCAATCCTAAAGTGATTAGTTCCCAATTCTGCCAATACATATATGTGTTTGACTTGAAGCAGATGAGTCAGTGGAATACTCTTTTCATTAACCAGAGGAAAAAATGTATTTTAGTCACCTTTTGTGCCAAGAGAAGAGCAAAAAAAGAAGGCTGAATCAAGAACAATAAATCTGTGTACAGTACATGTGTACTGTGGGCTACTGCAGACCTGTTTTCACTTTCATGATGTATTGTCTTATATTAGAATTTATGTTCTGGATCACAACTGAAATCAAACCAAACCCAAAACAAAATTGCTTTCATATCTATTTTCCAGAAGAACAATTTGAAAATCCTGCACACTATTTAAAAAAAATAATTATGTGGTAATTGCTTTGCATAATCTTTGCCTTTCTTTGAACATTTCTCAGCTTTGAAAGTGAAATTGTTATACTGTTCACAGTGAGGTTACAGACAACTCCAGTGCATTAACAGAACTGTGACCTCTACAATGGAATGCTTGTTTCTAAAATTGTTTTTCTTGGATTTTTAAAATGAAAATATAATGGACTTCTTTTTCTATTGATTATAGGCTTTGAAAAAGTTTATTTTTTATTAAATACAATTGTTTGGCAAGCTTTGAGGAGAGAACATTCTTTAAAGGGCAGAGAAATTACTGGACTTGCAAACTATAATTAGTAGCATTACAGAGACCTTTACGTATTCTAAATACCATGTACATGTATTGAGATGTTACACATGATACGAACCACACAGGTAAAGACAGATAAAGACGTAGGCCCACAGGAACATGTACACACTGTTATCCTCTTTTAGGCACATGAAAGCTGAGGACCAGTGAAGCATTACTCAAGGCCACACAATGTCAAGGGAAGTCTAAAATCAAAGAACTCATCTTCCTTTCTCCAAAGCACATTGTCTCCATATACATACATCTCCCAAGGCCACTGGCAATGCTTATAGTGCAAGAATGGAAGATTTCAAAATAAGTCACTTTTGTGTTTTCGCAGACTTATTTTCCATGTGTTTCTTGCCTGTCTGCGAGATTTCTGATCGTGACCAAGGAATAAAGAGGGCAGAAGCCTAGCTTTTATGGAGAACAAATAGGAATGGTGAATTAAGCTTCTAAGCAGAGAAATACAGTAAGAAATTTTAGAAAGTGGCAGGCAGAGAATGCAGCTCAGTAAACAGTTTGTAGACTATTCTCTTCACAAAAAAAAAAAAACCAAAAAACCAAACCAAACCAAAAAAATCAGTAAATTAGTTACCTTTTAAAATCTCTTAAAATAATGGGTGCAACAGATACTTTTTTTCCAGTATTTTAAAAATCCTTTTCCCTTTCTGTTACTGTTTCAAAATTTACCATTTCCTGTTCTCTTGCCTCAGATTTCTGTCCTCTCAGTGACAGCATAATTCAAATGATTCAGTATCCCTGAAGGATACTGAAAAGGTTCATCTAACATGAGCAATAGCAGGTTCACTTGTTGGCTTGTGGAAGGTGATGATTTCTTGGCAATAAAAATAAGGACTATGTTCCTCTGCCCCACCAGGCTCACTGAACAAGAGCAAAGCTCTGACAAGGATTAGAAAAAGCTTTTTTTACATGTATCTCCTCTCCACCCTACAAATCAGTTACTATTTTGGGTTTATGTTAAAAAGAGAAATCATAGTCCTAGGGGAGGAATTTGTTTTCTTCTTCCTGTACATGTGTCCTCAGGGCACTGAATCTACCTGTGCTCACCTCAGTTTTAGAACCAAACAGATAAGAGTTGGACTTCCATGAAGTATAGTGGGAAAAATGGGCAGACAAGGAGCTTTTCACAGAGAAATGAGGCATAACTTGGTATTGTTTGACTATCTCAATATTTTTTGTGTGCCTATTTGTTATTTAAGG